TCAATACTCGCCATCGTTTCTTTCTTAACTGCTCTCGTGAGTTCCTCTACTTGATTACTCCATTGTCTTATGTTGTTTGATTTGGATTCATCCCAATTGAGAATTAGAGTAGATGTGAGAGAGGGTCAAATATAGTTGTGACCTACTGTTTGTCCAACTGATGGAAGTGTTTCTTTTCCTTTTTACTCCAGGACTTGGTATTTCTTCTATTAACTTCAGGTAGAGATCCTGGTATAATACCAAGGAATTCTCACCCGCCAGAGCCAGAAGGTAACGAAGGGCTTGCACGACTAACCCCACCATTCCGTTTGCCACGGACTAGAGATGTTCTTGTCAATGGAATCGTTGTCAAAACCAAGTACTGTGATACTTGCATGCTTTACAGGCCACCTCGATGCTCTCACTGCTCCATATGCAACAACTGTGTTCAGAGATTCGACCATCACTGCCCTTGGGTTGGCCAATGCATTGGATTGGTATTAAATTTCCACCTTCTGTATCATAATCCTGTTGTCCTCTTGCTTCTCCATCTGGCCTTTTCAGTTGTTTTTTTTTCTTTTTCTGGTCTGAGTTGTATTTCCCCCCCTTTTTTGTGGTGCAGCGAAACTATCGGTTCTTCTACATGTTTGTATTCACTACAACTGTGCTCTGCTTGTATGTACACGGGTTTAGCTGGGTGTACATTAGACGGATAGCAGACAGTGAACACATAACAATATGGAAAGCCATGACCAAAACCCCAGCCTCCATTGCACTTGTAGTCTATACCTTCATTTCAGTATGGTTTGTTGGTGGTCTCACTATGTTCCATACCTACCTCATAAGCAAAAACCAGGTACAACATCAATCTAACTTCTCAAATTTTAACGCTTGTCTTAGTACTGTTGCTTCCTCACATCTCAACTTCCTTGTGTTTCAACAGTCCACTTACGAGAATTTTAGATACCGGTACGATGGTCTCCCAAACCCATTTGACCGGGGTGTTGTTGAGAACTTCAAGGAGGTTTTCTTCTCAAGGATTGCTCCATCGAAGAACAACTTCAGGGCAAGAATTCCTAAGGCAGTACAAGTGCCGCCTAGACTTGTAGGCACTGGGGCCAGTTTGGGCAATGTGGATATGGAAAAGTCATCCGGGGACCTAGACAGGGGGATGAAGCCAGGATGGGATGTATCTGATAGAAGGGATGATTATGAGGGACCTGGGAGAGGGGATGGTAGTCTCGTAGACAACAATGGTGGTGACTCGTACGGTGATGAAGATGAGGATGCTTCTTCTTCTCCAGACTTCAGTCGGATGCTTCCTGCACAAAGCATGGATGGGCGGAGCGTGTTACATTCCAGAAGGTCTAGTTTGGGAAGGAGAAGCGGTAGCTTGGACTTACCGCCTGATGTTCTTGCTTTCGCGGCAGCCACAGCTGGAGGTGAGGAACCACAGAAGCAGGTGGCCGGTGAAAGTGACCATGACGGTATGTTGACACCTGAGATCCAACGGTCTCAGTCTCGAACGAAGGAGGAAGAGAGGAGAAAGTAGATACTCAATGGAGTAGGATAATGAAGCGGAAGGCAAGGTGAGAAATGTACAAAACTGGCAAAGAGAGGAAAATGAAAGAGCAGGCCAAGCAAACGAAGGAGCAATGTGTTGAAAACTATGTAACTAAGGGTTGGTTTTTTGTGCAGTCGTGTCGAACCACTGATAATTGTTATTTGGGCCCCTTTCTTTCTCTTCTCCATTATTGTGGCATTATTCCAACACTTATGGCTTGTAAGTAATTTGCTTCCACTACGCCTTGGATGCCTGGAAAAGGACTTAGGCACTTATTGTGGGGGTTCCTTTAATGGGAGAGATTGTTCCTCGTCTTTGCCATCACTGTGTGTAAGTATTTGGTATTTAAAAAGCTGCGAAAGCTGGCGGCTGGGGTTCTGTAATACCATGTATTTGTACTTTAATAACCTTTTGAAAACAGACAAGTGTAACTTGGAAGGGGTTTGGTTGAACAGAGTCGTGTTGCTGTTCTTGAATCTTCTAAGGAAACATCTGCCATTGCCTGGGAATCATGGATGATTATTGGTGAATCAGGATAGCCACAATTAGAGGTGGCAAATGGATTGGATTGGTGGATTGGATTGATGGATCTATGGATCAAATGGATTGGATTTAATGGATTGGTGGATTCATGGATTGGATCAAGTGGATTGGTGGATTATCCATGAATCCAAATGACATCCTCAACCAAGGACCAATATGTAAAATGTAAAAAGTTTAGGTACTAAAATGTCACAATGAAAAATTTTAGGTACCAAAATGTAATTTTCCAATGATATTTTTTGTATAAAAAATAAAATTTTAGGTACCAAAATGTAACAAATAAAAATTATAGGTACTAAACCGTAATTTGCCAATGATCCATGGATCTAATCCATTAATCCATCAATCCAATTGGATTTGGATCAAATGGATTGGATTTAAATGGATTGGATTAGGTGGATATTTTTAATGGATTGATGGATTGGATTGAAATTGCCACCTCTAGCCACAATCACAAATGAAACTTGTTTTCCATCACAATAATATTGTTGGGATTTGTTTTTCGTTGAACTATTGTCGGGATTTGTCTCGCAAACTTGTGATACTTAGATTGAAGCTTGTTTTCCACCTCTAGCCACAATCACAAATGAAACTTGTTTTCCATCACAATAATATTGTTGGGATTTGTTTTTCGTTGAACTATTGTCGGGATTTGTCTCGCAAACTTGTGATACTTAGATTGAAGCTTTGAAAACAAAGGCTTACTAACTTCTTCAATGTTGTTTTCATCTGCCTCAATTTCAATGATTCGTTTTACTTTATTTTGATTCATAGGCTACATTGGAAGGAGAAGTTCATAATAAGCGGCTTGAGAGTTGAGAAGGAACTAGATAATGCCCGAGATTCAGATGTTTGGGGTTGGATTTGTATGTTTGGGGTTGGATTTGTATGTTTTCCTTGAGCTTCTAAAAGTGCAGAAATTTCAGAATTGAAGAAGGGAGCAATCTGGTGAATGATGAAGCAAGGGTGACGGTAATTGGTTTGCAAATTGCAAATCATCATCACATTTACGTTACTCAATCTGTGAACCAATCAACCTATTTTGGCCCCAATCCATAAGGGACAAACACAACCCATAACCGAACCATGGCAAAGCTAGAAGATAAAAGATTTAAGTGGGAATAGCATTCTCAATCTCCCAGACTGCAAAGAATCACGAGCGATTGCTTTCCAAATGTCACCAGGTTACTAATTTGGTATTCCTGCCCTAGCTACTTTCTTCTCAAGGCCAGTGACTGTGCTACTTTATGCCAACAACTAATTGCAACAAGAGTAGGTAATGCAACATATCAATGAACTTCAAGAGCTATAGTTCTCGATGATCTGAACGAGCGACATCCATGTAACTGTAGTACAAGGCCAAAATGGATAGATGGTTCTCCAGAGAAAAATGCACTTGTGCTCTAGAAAGACTCGAGACATGAGAGAGCTAATTCGTCCCTCGACTCACTCACTGCATGGACTGGAAACGCTTCATGATGATTAGGGTCAAGTCCAAGTACCGCTGAGCACAGTTGGAAAGGCAAGCTGATTCGCCTGAGCTAAACTTGCTTCCGGGTGTGCTAGTTATGCACTTATCCCAGCACACGCTAGTGAGCTTCGCTACCATCTCATTCATCATGGCTCTTTCCTTTTCTTGCTGCAATTCAAAACCATAACAAAAAGACATCAATTGATAAATAACTAAATAAAAACGTCGGAAGCAGCATATGGAAGAGATCAGTAATTCCCCCTCCCCTCCCGATTAATCTCACGTCAGAATCAATACAAACAAGCAGAATACTCAACACACAGACACTAAGTTTAAGTCCAGAGAACAGCTTAGAGCGTAGCTCATGCAGTTGATAAAAGGGAAAAACCAGCAATCCATACAGCAGCTAGTATCTTCTAACCCTAGTAAATTCAACGCCGGATTCTCTTTTCCCAATTTCTGGAGCCATTATGCAAAGGCACAGACAAGAAAGCGACGATCAACAGAGTGCATAATAATCTCTGAAGCAGTAGGACCCATTGGATTCACAGCAATTATGGTCAACAACGCCAAATTAGAACCGATACAGAAAAAAACAATTACGAAGAAACTATGGACACCAAGAGGAAAAAGAAAGAAGCTATAAGGCTGCTGGGGGGAGACTAAAGTTCGCTTACATTGAGGAAACGCTGCACTTCAGCTGTATTGAGGGATGAAGGATCCATTGCCTATTTGCCTCTGCTCCGATGGTGTGCGTTGAGGGATCAGGATTCTTCAAAACCTCACTCGACTGCTGCTGTTCTGAGAAACCCTAACTAACAAAAACCACCAGAGAATAAGGAGAAGAAGCGACCGCCCCGCGGAATTAGAACCGCGACTGAAGGGAATGGAAATGGGTTGGGCCGGCCAATTACGTGGCGCTTCAACTTGTCAAAGCCTAATCGCTAATGGTACGACGTAAGGCCTGTCGGGCTTTTCCGTCCATGGCTGGTCTGTTAGGTGAACCAGCCCATTCGAGATGCTTATAGAATTAAGCAGTTTGATAGGCCGGGCCAATAGTAGTGATTGGAATTAGGCAGGTACCTCAATTCGCAAAGTAGGTTTTGAGGCTGTGCCAGCAGCAGACCCTCCGGCAAAGGGCCTCCAGACTTTCGTTATGTATGTAACTAATTACTATTACGAATTATTGGGGTTTTCGCTTATGAATTTCAAATGAGAGAAAATTTATGAATTGGTTTTGCTTATAGGTCTAAAATACCCATATTAAAAAATTTAAGTTCGAAGGCTAAACAACGAACGGATCACATGAGGGGAAAACTTACTTTCTTATTAAACTTTTTCATACCATATAACAAAACTCAATTTTGTCGTGTGTTTCCCTAATAGAATAAAAGAGGTAAGATCGTTGATGCCTCAATTATTAGCATTATTAAATTTGTTGTTTTAACCTTCTTCATTTTTCCAACTTTCTAAGGGGTAAAAATAATGCAGTTTCATCAATTAATCTGTTTGTACTAGTAAGGCATTAATAATAAATTAATTAAATAATACGCATTTATTTATTACACGTTAACCGAAATAATTAACTACAAGTCACAAATAGTAGAAAAGGAAAAATAACTAAATCAATTATAAATAGCTTGCATCATACTTAACTTTATACTTAAAATATAATCAGTTTTCTCAACAAAAAAAAAAAAAAACATTATCAGTTTCTCCTATCTAAGTTAGTTTACTCTATTATTTGTTTATACTATTTGATTGTTCTATAATTACTAGCTTTTACCCGACCCGTTGGTCGGATCAATTTCATTCTATTTCGTATAATTTATTTTATCAATATTTATGATTTACTTGATTTGGGATCTTTAATTTATATGATTCACGAAAAATATTTGTGGTTTTAAGAGTTGACAATGACGTAAAAGGATAGTCTAAGCTATTATATTGACCAAAATCTCAATATTTGAAGTATTTATTTGAAATTTTATTAAATAAAACACTTGTTGATTCAAATATACAATCGTTTGTCGTGAAAATGGGATTTATGAAAAAAGATTCATGACTTCATAAAGAAAGAAAACCAATTTGATATTCAATAACAAATGTGAACATCGTTTGGATCATATATTTCAGTTATGTATTTGGTATCTAAATTCAACACATGCGAGATTTGTCTAACTCCTAAATTGGAAGTAGGTGCTAAAACTCTAATCAAATCAAAGGTCAAGGATGAAAAGTTTTGCTATCGAATTGAAATTTGTTGGTCCCCATTAATTTGGAATAAGTGACATCCATAAATTAGATTTGTAAATCGAGCATTCAAAGAGACCGATGGGAAAGACATAAAAGTAAAGAAACAGTAAAACCATCCAAACAACAAACCTGGAAAGAATTATCATGGTGCCATATTAGCCAACATACACTACATTATTAGTAGTTGATTAAAAACATGTCATCTTCAAGATTCTCTGGCAATCTCATGGTTTATTGATTAAAACGCGATTTCCCAATATGAGAATCTGTATGTGATCTGGTCACAATTATCTTTTCGCCTATGTTGGTCCTTGCAATTAACAACCCATAACAAAATGAGCTAGCATGTGGCATAGTTATAAGGTATATGCACAAAAGTGAGTTATTAAATGTCGAACGGATCAGGAAGTAAACATTAATAACCCACTTAGCAATCATCCATATTAGCACAGAACATAGTCATCGAAGTAGCTGTTGTTTTAAGAATATGTTATCACCAACATAAACAATGTCGGTGAGAATGAGATGCATGGTAAGCTATTTTCGTACTATTATCTGATGTTGCATTGAAAACAAATTGTCTTGTCCCCATCCATCTTGTAATGAAATCCTAGCCCGAGTCATCTACTAAAAAAACGGCTGTCACCATCAACAACAACTACATGAAGAAAAGAAAGGGGGCTTCAAGTAATTAGTATATGCTGGGCATTAGGAATGTTTAAACTTTCACTAATTGTTCTTGCTTCTAATTTTAAAAAATATAGCAGCGTTACCAAAGAATGCATTAGCAAAATATGACGGGGAACTATCAAGAGCACACACAACAATTCATGATCTCAAAAACGACAACTTAACCAAGAACCCCACCCACCAAAGACGAATTGCAAAATATTTTAAACACTACATATATGCAAAGCGATTATCCTCTAATTGGTTCATTTTATAGTTATTATTTCCTTCCCTTCATTTATGTCATTATCTAGATGATTTCATATTTTCATTATTTGGGTACTTTTTAATTCTCAAATAATGATTCAATTCAAAAGCACTTTAGCTAATGCACTACATTTATAGCCTTAGCACCCTTTACTTATTGGGAACTCCGTTTAGATAATATCACACAATAAGTACTTGCTATCAAAACTATGCATGTGTCTTAATAAACCCCTCGATGCAACCCCTTAACTTACGTGATTAAAGAAGCAACAAATGACGGTCATATTTCTTAATCCCAGAAGACATTCGCTACCCACATATTAGATGTCTACCGTAGATAAATGAAACTTACTTCATAGTATCCGCAATTTGATAGTATTCAACCTTAAACAAAAAGTGATAGCGAAAGCAATGGTTGTACTATTTTTTAGACATCAGATGCAACAACTCCTTCCCCTCCCTTTGAGGACCATCACAACATAGATCTATGTTCCTACAACTTCCACACCTATACTAAAACTTCAGACCCATGACAATAAAGATCTGTAGGAATTTTTTGCCTCCAAACAACATGTAACTTTAGACATACCAGAACATAATTTTGTGTTAAAAGAGTTTAAATATCATTTGACTCAAAGGCTAAATGAAATTTGCAAGTGAATGCCCCCAAAAGGAACTTGATAATGAATTTAAGAACGAACTAAATAAACAACCAGCAGCAACCTTGAACCAATTAATTACCCCAATCCAGGAGTTGAAACACTTGCCCAGCCTCAAAGGGTGATGTAATGGAAATACTGTAGCTCTGGTTTCCCTTGTTGATTCTTGCAATAGAGGCAAAAGGTGGGATTATACAATCAGTTGATAGAAGAAGATGATTTGGAAACTATAGTCTGCCATCAAAGACAAATTATCAAGCATTTCAGTGTTCTTTTTCTTAACTTTTTTTGGGATCAACATTTTAGAAATACTAAATGTGTTGTGTAAGAACTTACAGAAGAAGCAGCAGCTGAAAAGAACATAGGCTAGAATCACACAAAAACCTTAGGTTAAGGCATCTATGAACATTGACTCAATCAATAATGCTCAGTATCTCAAAATCATTAACCCAATTGGAAGCTCGCTACTGATTCCTTCAGGTCAAATCGAATCAAAACAGTATCAGCCTAATGGAATGGATTAGAGCACAGTACCATAAAAACAAAATATCTAAGAATTAACTATTCGATGCTGATAAGATTCTAACTACAAAAAAAAAAACAGTGAACTTAATATCAAATGAATAACCAATAAGTGATACCGTCTTTTCTTTGTGCAGAGAATATCCTAATCCCTTTCACTCGGTATGCAATTACTCTTTTTATGTTCTTTGTCTATATGAGTAACCAATCTTCCTGTCTTATTGCTTCAAGCAATTTTTCTGCAGCCAAATTGGTCAGATAATTGGTCATATACAGAGAAACATCATCTCCTTCTCATAATAACATCTATAGATTATAGTTTAAACATATATAGGCAAAATCCAATCTTTACTTTAAAAAATAATAGATGCAGCAGCAATCCGATATCATCAAGATAGCTAATATGATTTAGGATGATTTTCATGAGCCTGGGTCAATCAAGGATCAAAGCATGACCACAACAAAGTAAGGAATTGAAAAGTTTGCTATCTGATTATATCGTCATATGAAAAAGCAGGTCCTGGACACTAACAAATTCAAAAGGGCACATCCAAGAGTACAAAGTTAATAGATTGCCACTTGCTAAATCCAGGCATTCATTGCAAGTCAATTTCATGCAAGTTTTACATCACAGCTTAAAAAGTACAGTGTCGAAGAAGATAAAACAAACGGATTAAATATATGACCCAACTGTATTAATTAAGATCTCAAGTGCAATACATGTATTTTTTACATAGACGTTCTATATAAATCCTACTGCAAGTATTTGTCTTCGCTTGATTCTACCCTACTACAAAATTCTGAATAAAAGTGCTGAACACAAAACATCTTACTGAAGCACATCTATCTAAAGGAAAAACTGGTAAAATGAAGAGACACAATTCCTATGCCGTAGAACCTGCCATGATATGTAAGATGATAAGTGGAGGTTTGAAAGCGACAACAAACAGAGAAGCAGCAAAGGTAGTAATCAGAATACTACCTTTGGTTACGAAATCCATGGGCATTGGCTAAACCAAACACCTTCGTGCATCTCTAATTCATGAACATATACTTTTTTCTCTATACTTCAGTTCGTAGGAAACACCTATAGCAACAAATGGAACCTATAAAATGGAAAATTATAAAATCAGAATCGTGAATGGGTAGGAACGAATACATGGGGAAAATCACCTAATTGATTTTAGATGAGTATCCATGTACTGGTTGGAAACTGACAATTATCCTATGAGTATCCAAAATCAAATTAAAATACCAACCATACCTGAAAACAATACCAATATAACAAATAAAAAATTAAACTTTTAGATGAATATGAAAGGTAATCACAAGTTACAGTCCCTAGGCAACACAAACCTGGATTCATTCTAATTTTAGAAACCAAACACGATTTGTGATTGACCGTGTAACATGATATAACACAACATCAGCTATAAAAATGAGAGATTCAAGGGAGAAAAAAGTACCAAGTGAAAGCTCGTTCATAAAGAGCACAAATCTCATCATCATGAGAATCGTCAATCGTGTTTGATTATATCATTTTTGTTGGTCCTTTTTGTTGCATATATGCTCTTCCTCTTGAAAGGAAAAAAGGGATCAACGAATCATA